ACTAGGAATTGGGAGAAATACAGGGGGGAGTAGTTCATATATCATAGACAGAGAAAGGGATATCTTCTTTAAGGAGAGATTTTTCAAAACTAGGTTCCTAGGGAAATGGCAAACCATCAATTCTTGTTGAGCCAGTGGGTAGAGAAAGTTATGAGTCAAAGAATCACAGCTGTAGATGGCTCAGGTTCAGCAAAATACAGTTTCACCTGTGTATGTGCGTACTTGTTGTAGAAAAAAACCTTTGTTACACAGGCCCACCAAGTTCTCTATTTTCAGAGTATCACCTTGAAAAATCAAAGGTCTTGGCTGGGTGCTTTGGCTCAAGCCTGTAATCCCAGCACTTTGGGAGGTCGAGAAGGGTGGATCACGAAGTCAAGAGATCAAGAGCATCCTAGCCAACATGGTTAAACCCTGTCTCTACTAAAAACACAAAAATTAGCTGAGTGTGGTGGCGTGTGCTTGTAGTCCCAGCTACTCAGGTGGCTGAGGCAGGACAATCACTTGAACCTGAGAGGCACAGGGTGCAGTAAGCCAAGATGGCACCACTGTACTCCAGCCTGGCAAAAGAGAGGAAAAAAAAAAAAAAGAAAAAAAACAAAAAAATCAAAGGTCTATGACTTTGAGGAAGATAATTCTCATCAACGTTTCTTTATCTTTCTATGCACAATTCTAGGATGATCCTAAGAGGAAGGTAGGGCAAATGTGAGTGTAAACTCATAAAAAAAATTCAGGTTTAAAAAAATTGAGGCACAATGAGCTTAAGTACGTTGCTGGGTCTAGGATCCTTCATCCCATTTTCAGTGTTTCTCTTTACTTGAATGTATTTGACATCAAATATCATCTTCCTTCATATGATCCTGCCCCTTTTCCCTGGTAGAACAAGGTCAAGGTATGTATTTTGCGACACATTCAGTAAACTATGGGGCTTAAGGTGCAAGATTACTTGGTTATTAGGTTTTATATTTCTGGCTTTCTCTGGAAGCTGAGGGCAGTGAATTTTATTTGTAGTCTTTTTCTCAGTATTAGGAACTTTCTTTTTTTTTTGAGACGGAGTTTCACTCTTGTTACCCAGGCTGGAGTGCAATGGCGCGATCTCGGCTCACCGCAACCACCGCCTCCTGGGTTCAGGCAATTCTCCTGCCTCAGCCTCCTGAGTAGCTGGGATTACAGGCTCCTGCCACCACACCTGGCTAATTTTTGAATTTTTAGTAGAGACGGGGTTTTATTATGTTAGTCAGGCTTGTCTTGAACTCCTGACCTCAGGTGATCCACCTGTGTTGGCCTCCCAAAGTGCTGGGATTAACAGGCATGAGCCACCTCAACTGGCCTGCTTTCTGCCCTTTTCTTACTGTTTCTACTATCTTTTATTCGGAAGATTAACTGGGAAGAAACTACAATCAGATATTACCTGTTTATTAAAAGTATACATACTTTAGATTGCAGACTGAATACAAATATTAATCAGAAGCCAAATCACCCCACACATTTCTTATCAATCAACCCAGGCCAATCTGTCTTTCAACTGTACATTTTTATGTTCTTGCCTCACCACTTACTAAAAATAAACAAGAATAAATAGCAATCCAATCCAAATAAGCATCTCTCATCTATAATTATCTGAAGCAAGGGATTTAAAGATGGGTAGAGTTAATCCACCTCACCAATTGCATCTTCAATGCCTGTTCAGTCATGCTTCAATGTCTACATTCAATTTATAACGAATATGAATATATAACATTGTAGAGGGAGGCTTCTGGCAGATCCAGTCTGACAAGAACAAAAGGTCAAACAGTTCTTTTGCTGTTCTGTGACAGTTAAAGAGTCTCTGGGTTGGGTTAAAGGATTGAAGAGTTATGTCTAGATCTGGAATGGATCATGCACACAATTAACTTCTTGTCAGACCAAAAGACATGACAGCACAACTTTCCCCAGGCAAAAGGACAGCCAGATGGAAAGCAACTATTTTTCTCAACCTATTTCAAATTTTGAAATAAGAATGGGAATTAATGATGGAAAAAAACATTTCTAAGTTTAAGAATATACTTCTACTTGGGTTGTAGGGGTTACACTTGGAAATCTTGGGAAAACAATCTGATTTTTTTTCCCTCATTGGAAACTGGTTACCTCTCATCACCTTTTAACTCAGAAACTAAACACTAAGAGATTAGAGTGTAGACAGTACTACTCAAATATTGGATCCATACTTTCATTCATTATACGTTGACTTATACAACACTGTTTGCAATATCGACTTTAAATATTCATAGCTCAGCTGATGAGTAAACATTTTGAGTTTTTCCCTGCTGATGCTGCCTGCAAGCAACAGTTTAGTTTTGGCATTTTCATCATCTTTGTCTGACATGAATTTTTGCTTTTGTTCAATTATTGGCGAAACAGAAGTATTGGGCCAAAGACAAAGTATTAGGCTTGCTATAGGTGGTATTTGGCTTCAAACAGATATTGTGTGATCAACTATCAAGGAAAACAATGCACAAGTATGAAGTTTTAGAAATACTCTGCCAAAAACGCTGTCAAAAAGGCAAGATGGGCCAGGTGCGGTGGCTCACACCTGTAATCCCAGCACTTTGGGAGGCTGAGGCGGGTGGATCACAAGTTCAGGAGTTCAAGACCAGCCTGCCCAAAATGGTGAAACCCCATCTCTACTAAAAATACAAAAATTAGCTGGGTGTGGTGGCAGGCACCTGTATTCCCAACTACCTGGGAGGCTGAGGTATGATAAATCATTTGAACGCTGGAGGTGGAGGTTGCAGTGAGCCAAGATCATGACATTTCACTCCAGCCTGGGCAACAGAGCAAGATTCTGTCTCAAAAATAAATAAATAAATAAATAAATAAAAAGGCAAGATGACTTAAGAAAGACCTTTCCTCTCTCCACATACAAAACATATGAACACATTTAAGTCTATTGTTCAACTTTCAGTGATATGACTTTGTTATACATTTTGGAGACCCAATATGCACTACAATAGGGGACTGCGGATTGCCTAAAGGTTAGCCTCTAAATCAATTATTAGTGACCATGTCCAGAACACGTTCACAAAAGATTAAGAGATAAAAGGATCCATAGATCCTTTTTACCTACTTCAAAATGATACTACTGTAGATAAAAAACTGGAGGCCACAAAGATTATTTTACCTGCCTAATGCTCTACAACTCAATTTATGGTAATGCTGGGTCCAGAACCTGGGGTTACTCTAAGTCAGCAATCTTCCCATCACTATTATTTTGTAAACCTTCGTCATGGTAACATCGCAATACTATTAGGTTCCTTAAAAATCATGAGAGGCATAATTCCTGAGAGCCTTGAAATTATAGTGCTTCTGGGTTCTGGGTCTGTTACTGTCCCTTGTTTCACAAAATGAATACGGTATCTGGTAAGACCTGAATGCCAAATCAGTAAAGGCTGACACTGCAAATGTTTTTAAAATGGTTTCTGCATCTTATCTTCTAGGTCTAAGGTTAAATGTCACTTCTTCAGGCATGCCTTTTCTAGCAAGCTTACCTATGCTTGTCCTGTTCTTTATATAACTTTACAGCACATAATACATTTTGAAATAACACATTTATTTAATTATTATATATCTTCTCAAATACATTATTAATTCCATGAAGGCAGGGTCATCTTTGTTTTGTTCAAAACTGTTTATGTAGCACCTACCACACAGTCTCAGCATATAAAAGAGGCTCTAATATTTATTGAATAAACAAATGAATTTCTCTCTCTAATTACGGTTGAGGCAAGCCTTACGGAAGCCCTAATTATTCCTTTTAGTCTGTCCTAAACTTGATATATCTAAGCTCAAGGGATTAAAGTTCCAGGGAAGTAGATTTTCCTGAGATTTTAGCTCAGCAAAAGCTACCAATTAGAAAGATTCAGAAATGGAATGAGCAATTTTGTAGGACACTGATTTCTTTGTTAAAAAGAGGCTGGAAAACCAAGTGCCCAGGTAAACAGAATCTCTCTGCATTAGGCAGGTCAACTTTGACAAACTCTCAGGTGTCTTCAAAGCTTTAGATACCGGAATTTGTTTCTTTTTGGCTCTTTGATTTTGAATTAGGTTAAAAATAAATTATACATACAAACTTCATTAGGAAATAACCTAGGAGAAGCCATCTAATGAGACTCACAAAACTGATTATTCAGACATGCATGCCCATTTACAATTACTTGATACATGCGTATTTTACTGATAATACAATTTAATATAGGTCCTTCTACATGTAACTCAATGAAGAGTAAAGGTCCTTATACATGTAACTCAATAAAGACTAAAACAAGAGGTTTTTAAAAGTTTATGTAGCATTTCAGTTTTAAACACATATGCGTGTATGTGCATACACACATACACGTGATTATGTCAACTCTGAAGAAAACGATGTCGAGCTCCTACACAGTAAGCAGCTTGTCCAAAGTGCTAGAACTGTCTGACGGTCCCAAACCCCCAAATCAGTGCTGTTCTCACTCTCATAGACCACACTACTTTTTTTTTTTTTTTTTTTTGAGATGGAGTCTCCCTCTGTCATCCAGGCTGGAGTGCAGTGGCGCATTCTTCGCTAACCGCAACCTCAGCCTCCCGGGTTCAAGTGCTTCTCCTACCTCAGCTTCCAGAGTAGCTGGCATTATAGGTGCCTGCCACCACGCCTGGCTAATTTTTGTATTTTTAGTAGAGACAGGATTTCACCATGTTGGCCAGGCTGGTCTCCAACAACTGACCTCAGGTGTTCTGCCTGGCTCAGTCTCCCAAAGTGCTGGGATTACAGGAGTGAGCCACCATGCCCAGCTGACCATACCACTTTTTAACTCTAGAATTACCCATCCTTTAGGCTCAGCCAAATTTCCATCCTCATCTTGAATTGAAAATACCTTTCTTTTCTTTAGGCTCAGCCAAATTTCCATCCTCATCTTGAACAGAAAATACCAAATTTTACTAGAAAAGGGCCAAATGAAATTTAAAAAAATATCACTTTTTTCCATAGGTGCCAATAAAAATATCTATTTTATTAGAGAAATTGTAAACATCAAATATAAACAAATTATAACACAACAGTGATTAAAGAGTTTAAATAGTTAATACAACATCTCATTAGCTTTTATAATTGAAAAGCAACAGTTATTAAATGTAATTTTTCATCCAGTTCAATCAAAGGAGATATTTCAATTCAGAATAGCTACTTTATTAAGTCAATTAAGACCTTAAGGAATATTTCTTTTCTGCAATGTTTAGTTAAAGCACTGAAAATAAGATAAGCATTTATCACGAAGTATATGGCAAGGGGAGAAAAGATCCAACCTTATTTTGATCTACTAGATGGTTCTCAAAAATTACACAGGAAAGTGATTTAATGATTATAGACAAAGTAAAATATACTATCTCATCCTGTTTTAGAGTTGAAAAGAAACTTTGAGATTATCTAATTCAATTTCTTCAATTCTTCTTAATTGAGGTAAAGGATTTGAGACCCCTTGCTATAAGTACTTGTACTTGGGGGAAATCATCCTTACGTGAAAGGCCTCAACTTTCTAAGAAAATCACAACCACTTATATTTTTTCTATGATATCTTATGGTACCACAACAATTATATATTGAAATTTGCATTTCTAAAATCCAAACATGCATTCCAATGTATGCAGAAATCACGTGCAGTGCCTCTGCCATGAGTTGCTTTTCCTTAACCAATCTTCCAGCTATAAAAGACATGAATGAGGAAACCTTGGGAAAGGAATAACATCCTTGATATTGTCAACTCCCAAGATGCACTGCAGGTAGCGTTCAAATCCCATCCCAAAACCTCCATGTGGCACAGATCCAAATCGACGAAGGTCCAGATACCTGTTTTTCCAAAAAAAGAAAATCATCACTTATATATGTTGTATAAGATCAGATGTTATGGTTAGAATTTTATGTTTCAAAAGTATTTTGCAATCATTTGTTATTATTTACCTCACTGTGATAGACCCATCTTTCCCCTCCACAGACAGATCATGGAAAGGAGAAGCTGAATAATTATCCAAGGTTACCCAGAGAAACAACAGTGGAGCCTGTCATACAGTCACGGGCTTTGGTCACTTTTCCTTTTTAAGCTATTATATTTATGCGTTTATGACAGAAAACTTGCCTCAGGAAGTTACAGAAGATTTTCTATAGCTTTACTCATCTCCTTGAAAATATATGCCTCTTTTATTTCTTGGTACATTAATAACAATGCTTTCTTTTCCTTCCCAAAATCATATTGTTCAATACACAGAGGAGATTGCAGAGTATTGTCTGTTACATTACAAAGAGATACCCTACAGAACAGACTATAAGCTACAACAGAGCAGGAGTTGTGCTTCATTCAACTTTTTGATTGCCAGGGAATGCTCTAGAGTAGGTGTGTACTATATAAATTTTGTTTGAAGGCATACAAATACATGCTTGAATGCTGGAGTGAGAAGAAAACTTCAATTCTCTGACTCAGGCTTAGTGAAGATGCCCAGAGTCATTTTGCTGACATGCTGGACAGCCTCTGAAACCCATTCATGCACATTCTTTTCCCACTTAAGACCAAATGGCCAGACAATGGCACAGCCATGACTGAAACTCAGATGTTAATACACCAACATTGGAAAAAGTTTTAGAAACAGGAAAAGGACAACTACAAATATTTTATTATGTTATTTGGTGGGGAAGTTCTTGAGTTATATAATATTGATTAAAACAAGTTTATCTTTTCTTACATGATTTGTAAAAATCAGCTCTGCAACAAGATGTAAGCAACATAGTTTGTAGCTACTTGGCTCCTCAATCATAAAGACTGCCTATCAACCTATTTCCCTACCATTAATAATAATGGCTACATATACTAGTATTGTAGGAAGTTAAATCTACGTAGTTACCTTCTTAAAAGAAAAGATTAATTCCAACCAGGTGAGTTGTAACCAGGTAAGAGATCAACATTACAGGGATATCTAGTATAAACCTTCAGATTAGTAAAAACTATAAGAAATAATGGGAGGCTGGGCGTGGTGGCTCATGCCTGTAATCCTAGCACTTCGGGAGGTCAGGAGATTGAGACCATCCTGGCTAACATGGTGAAACCCCGTCTCTACTAAAAAATACAAAAAACTAGTTGGCCGTTGTGGCACACGCCTGTAGTCCCAGCTACTTGGGAGGCTGAAGCAGGAGAATCGCTTGAAGCTGGGAGGTGGAGCTTGCAGTGAGCCGAGATTGCTCTGGCCTGGGCAGGAGAGTAAGACTTCCATCTCAAAAAAAAAAAAAAAAAAAAAGAAAGAAAGAAATAATGGAAGGTACATAGTCTTGAATAACTGAAATGTTCAGTTGCTAAATTAGCTTTAAGTTTACAAGGCATGGGAAGAGTAGACTTTTACTTAGTGACGAAATGAGGGGCACACCAGACTATCTGTCACAAACACCTGCAGGATCTGGCCTGGCTGCCAGGAAGCCCAGCAATAGTTTTAAATGGGTCTAAATTTCTCATACATTGGTATTAAAACACTGACATGAATGCTTGCAAACTGTATTCAGCAGAGGGGTTGAGTTTGTAGCATTCTTCTTGCCTTTGCTTTGATAGATAAAAAAATCTACTTCTAAGAAGCTTTCTAACATATACGTATTTGTTTAATTGTTATTAAATTGGTTGCAAGGTAGTGAGATTGTAGAAGAGACCTATAAAATTTGTGGAACTAGTTACAGATTTAATTTGCATACGGCATATAGAAATAGAAAGTGAGTAAGTTCTTAGACAGCTGGGATGGCTTCTTACTGGATGATGGAACACTAGCAGACATCACAGATGTGAAGATGTCTAAGGTCTCTTTTACCTTTAATATACTAAGATAAAAGGAAGCAAATGCAAGATCTTTAAGGATTTGAAAACTTTAGTTGGAAAAAGAATGGTGCTAAAATGACTAATAAAGACTAGAAAAGGCCTAAACTTATTTAACCAATAATTAAAATTAGTGTTTAGCTTTTCCCCCAGACAGACTTTTGTTCTTGTTGCCTGGGCTTGAGTGCAATGGTGCGATCTTGGCTCACTGCAACCTTCGCCTCCCAGGTTCAAGTGATTTTTCTCCCTCAGCCTCCCAAGTAGCCGAGATTACAGGCACCTGTCACCACGCCTGGCTGATTTTTGTATTTTTATTAGAGATGGAGTTTCACCATGTTGGCCAGGCTGGTCTCGAACTCCTGATCTCAAGTGATCCACCTGCTTTGGCCTCCCAAAGTGGTTGGATTACAGGTATAAGCCACCGCACCCAGTTTATTTAGCTTTTTTTTAAGGGTAGTTTTCACACACTATAAAATGCATAAACTTACTCAATCAGGCATATCTACCTAATAGCAAGACTCAAAACAAAGAAAGGAAAGGGGGTAGGAAATTAACATTTACTGAGCTTCCACTCTATGTAGATAATTAACCTGTATTGTTTCATTTCATCTACACAGTAACTCCGTGAAGGAGATATCATTCCATTTTATAGTCAAAAAACCAAGATTTAGAGACATTAAGTATGACTAAGGTCATTACTGGTTAACAGAAGGCATTCAAAGGCCATTACCTGAAGCGAATTTTAGATTATTTTGCATTTCTGAAACCTATCTTCGTAACTTGCCCCTTCCTTTTCCTGAGGAGAGCAATAGGATTAGTAATACTATTATTATTATTTTTTTTTGAGACGGAGTCTGGCTTTGTCACCCAGGCTGGAGTGCAGTGGCACGATCTCGGCTCACTGCAACTTCCGCTTCCCGGGTTCAATTGATTCTCCTGCCTCAGCCTCCCAAGCAGCTGGGACTACAGGTGCGTGCCACTAAGCCTGGCTAATCTTTCTGGTATTTTTAGTAGCAACTGGGTTTCAACGTGTCAGCCAGGATGGTCTCGATTTCCTGACCTTGTGATCTACCTACCTCGGCCTCCCAACGTGCTGCCATTACAGGCGTGAGCCACCGTCCCTGGCCTATATTGTTGATATTATCATACCAAGATCCTGAAGGAATGCTATTACAGAAATACAAATAAAAAATGTGGCCGGGCGCGGTGGCTCAAGCCTGTAATCCCAGCACTTCGGGAGGCCGAGGCGGGTGGATCACGAGGTCAAGAGATCGAGACCATCCTGGTCAACATGGTGAAACCCCGTCTCTACCAAAAATACAAAAAATTAGCTGGGCATGGTGGTGCGTGCCTGTAATCCCAGCTACTCAGGAGGCTGAGGCAGGAGAATTGCCTGAACCCAGGAGGCGGAGGTTGCGGTGAGCCGAGATCGTGCCATTGCACTCCAGCCTGGGTAACAAGAGCGAAACTCCATCTCAAAAAAAAAAAAAAAAAAAAATGTATATAGATTGAAAAGTACTTGAAGAAAAAGTCTGCATAAGCAAAAGCAAAACAACTTTGAGGAAGTGAATGTATGAGTACAGACAGGTGGTCCTCCCTAAGCAGCTCAGATTTCTATAGTTCATGGAGACATTAGGGATCACTTAGCTCAAGCCCCTAATTTCACACATAAAGAAATTGCAGCATAATGGTTAAGAGCAAAGGATTTTTTAAAAAATAATTAATTAATTAATTATTTGAGAAGGCGTCTCACTCTGTCACTCAGGCTGGACTGCACTGGCACAATCTTGGCTCACTGTAACCTCTGCCTCCTGGGTTCAAGTGATTCTACTGCCTCAGCCTCCGGAGTAGCTGAGATTACAGGCATGCACCACCATGCCCAGGTAATTTGTGTATTTTTGGTAGAGACACGGTATCACCATGTTGGCCAGGCTGATCTGGAACTCCTGACCTCAAGTGATCCACCCACCTCGGCCTCCAAAGTGCTGGGATTACAGGCGTGAGCCACTGCGCCCGGCCGAGCAAAGGATTTTGATTCAGAGAGATCAAGTCCCATTTCTATCCTTCAAATTGTGTGATCTTGGCTAAGTTAGTTAACAACTCTGGGCCTCAGGCCTAGGGGGTAACAAAAAGGGGGTTAATAATTGCACCTAACCCACAGGATAGGATAATTACATGAGATAATATACATGAATTTTTAACATAATTATCTCACACACAGTAAGTAATAAGTAAATGAGAGCTATTATTACTATTTTTAGGAATCCAAAGGAAGTAAATAATCTTCTGAGCCCCCCAACCCCTTCCCTGATCTAAGAACAATTAAGTTCACAGTTTTTAACACTCTTTCACGGGGTCTTGGGAATACAAGTAAAAATGCTTCTAGGCAACAGTCAGACAAGCAGCTAGAGTAAGAATTATTAGGGCCCACATTCTTACCACTGGTAGACTTCTGTAAGTCTTGATCTGTTAAAGGAAAAGAAAATTCTTTCAGGGAATGACAATAAAATAAATATTAACATTAAACATTTATTCTGGGTGTGTGCAAAGAAGTCTTTATAAAGAAGTAGACAAAGCCTGTGCTCTGAAGTAACACTCAATATAGTTGAGAAGCTGAAACTGTATAGTAAGTTAACCAATAGCACAAGGTGTTATGAAATAAATGGTTTAGACAATAAATGTTATAGCAAGAAAATATGATCCAGAGTCTAAAGGGATTCATCTAAGTTCATTGTCCTGTGACATAAGAAAAGCACTATTTCCAAAGCAACAATGTCTTAAAAAAAAAAAAAAAAAAAAAAGAAAAGAAAAGAAAAGCACTATTACTAGGCCAGGCATGGTGGCTCAGGCCCGTAATCCCAGCATTTTGGGAGGTTAAGGTGGGCGAATCACTTGAGGTCAGGAGTTCGAGACCAGCCTTGCCAATATGGTGAAACCCCATCTCTACTAAAAATATAAAAATTAGCTGGGTGTTGTGGTGTGTGCCTGTAGTTCCAGCTACTCAGAAGACTGAGGTAGACGGACTGCTTGAACCTAGAAGACAAAGGTTGCAGTGAACCAAGAATATGCCACTGCATTACAGTCTGGACAACACAGTGAGACTCCATCTCAAAAGAAAAAAAAAAAAGCAAAGCACTATTATTACTGGTTAAGGTTGCTGGAAGGCACACACAGACAAGAGACACATAGATAAACTTTCATTCTTCAACATTAAAACAGTAATAAGATTCTGAGGCTGCCTTCACAATATGGTGGCAAATCTATTCTTTTTTGAGAAATATTATTAAAATTTTAAATTCTTGGTCATAATTGAAATTCAACTCAGTCCTTTAAAAAAAGTGTTTCAGGCCACACTGCATCTAACATGACCAGGAATATGAAAAATTGAAATATACAAAAATACAGAAAACATGAAAAGCAGCCACAGACACATCCCTGAAATAGGGAATCATATATATCCACTTCATTAGGAAAGATGAATTTGGCTATTATCAGGTATTAGGTAAACATTTAATGTTATGAGGAAAGGTTTCCTGGAGGAAGGAAGTGAGCAAAGAAAACAGATCAATTAATCTTTCAACAGATGAAGTTTCTTGCCATGTGTCATTTTTATTGTGCTTTTTAAAAAATGTAGAGGATACTCAGATTCTTTCCAACTAGAGTTTGACCTTCAATTCCACAACTTTCTCAGGACTTTTTAACACTATAATAGTAGTAAGATGTTTGTAGTCTAACATATACAGAGTCTTCCCCAAATCCTTTTAACCCGTTTCTTCTAGATCTTAACCCAATAGAGTAGTTCAGATGACTGGGATAACAAAACTAAGTTACCCAAGAGATTTACATATAAGTCGGGATCTTGAAAAAGCATCAACTTTTAAAGCATTTCCCCACTAGGAAGAGAAGGCCTCACAAACGGCTAACAGAATATTTTTAAACAGTTATGACTTTTCCAGGTTACTATGAAACCCAGTACTATCTTGTGAGAATTAAGCATACAGACATGGTAAAGTCTTTTTTTTTTTTTAAAGTCTGGCAATACTTTTACTAAAGTAGAAATCAAGGAAAACAGAGGTATGGTTAGTTTAGGAAGTCATTATGGCTTGTTGGCAGGCCATGTATATGTAGGAGTGGTGGTTCAATCAGAAACACGATTCCTTACTTCCCATCTCCAAAACATTCTCTATGCGTTTACAGATTTATTTCCCAGTTCTCAAACAGCAAGTTAAAATAAAGTTATTTAAATAGCTAAATCAAGACCCTTACAAAGAAGAGAATCTAAAGAAGTGAAATGTGCTTATTCTAAATGCTAGTTTAGCGGGCATTCTTAGTAGTTTTCCTTCCCAGTCATAATGAGAGTAAGTAGAGATACGAGAAAAATGTAGGACAGCTTCAAGGGGGAATACTGTTTTCTCATTTTTTTATTCCCTACTTTCCATAGGAAAAGGCATGTAAAAATAGTGGGCAAATATCATTGTGGGTTTTACATATAAGAGTTCCAGTCCTTTTTTTTGAGACAGAGTCTCACTCTGTTGCTAGGCTGAAGCGTAGTGGCGAGATCTTGGCTCACTGCAACCTCCATGTCCTGGGTTCAAGCAATTCTCCTGCCTCAGCCTCCCAAGTAGCTGGGATTACAGGTGCATGCCACCACACCTGGCTAATTTTTGTATTTTCAGCAGAGACAGAGTTCCATCACGGAAACTTCTAACCTCGTGATCCACCTGCCTTGGCCTCCCAAAGTGCTGGGATTACAGGCGAAAGCCACTGTGCCCGGCTGAGGTCCAGTCCTTAAGAAAGGGAAGCTCAGAGCTAAACAACTTGCTCAAGGACACAGAGAATCTGCTATCCAGTTCCGTCAGGTGCTGAGGCCTAGGGTCTTTATTCTGCTACTATGCAATGATCAGCTTTGAGCACCTTATGCTCAGTTTCTGAATTGTGTTTCTTTTAGGTCTGACCAATACCTGGCTAGGCGCTCCTCTAAGAAATGGTATCGTTCTTCTCTGAGGCCTCCTCCAAAGAGTTCCCCAATTCCAGGAACCAGAAGATCAACAGCAGCAACCTAGAAAGACAAAATAAGAATTAATATCAGCATTATATTTTCAGGCGATTCCAATAGTCAGTTTCTGAAGCAAGCAAATGTTTAACATTTTGGTAATGGCTAATTACCTACCTACCAGAATGTTACTGATTTTATCTGTCTATACTCCCTGTTTCAATATCAAATGTTTAATATTATATTATCTTTTGAATACTTGCTACATACAAATTACAAGTGGACAGTTTCCTCTCTACTCTTGCACCATTTGTGTGGTATACTTAAAAAAAAAGTCTCTTCTTCATAAATGTGATAGAAAAGTTCATTATAAAAGTTCATTATAAAAATGTACAAAGTGTTAAAAATTATGAAATATTAAATATTACCTATCACTACTAGAAACAATTACATTTTGGCAGATTTCCTTTCATATTTTTTCCCTTTCACATTTACAAAGAGTAATTACAGATAAAAACTTATCACTTGTCTTACCTAATACTACAAACTAATATTTTTCGTATGTTAGTGAAAATTCACATGTTATGTTTCAATAGCTTTAATGTTTAATAGTTTGTTTAGAATTATTTAACTGTTTTCCTTTTTAGTTGCACATTTAAGGTGTGCGTATTTCTGTTTTCTCTTATAATGCGGCAATGAAGAGTTTAATTTGTAGTATTGTTATTATGACATATAAAATAAATTCTGACTATTAATCAAAGAAGTACAAAATTAAAAGAACAAGATCCCATTCTGGAGTTATCAAAATGGAGATGATGGCCAAGCACAGTGGCTCATGCCTATAATCCTAGCACTTTGGAAGAATGAGAGAGGCAGATTACCTGAGCTCAGGAGTTTGAGACTACCCTGGGGGCAACATGGTGAAACCCCGTCTCTGCTAAAACACAAAAAATTAACTGGGCTTGGTGATACACACCTGTAATCTCAGCTACTTGGGAGGCTGAGGCAGGAGAATTGCTTGAGCCCAGGAGGTAGAGGTTGCAGTGAGCTGACACTGCACCACTGCACTCCAGCCTGGGCCACAGAGCAAGAGTATGTCTCAAAAAAAAAAGAGGGGGATGATAAGAAAATAATGTATCTATAGGACTAAGTCTGAAAGAAAAAATAAAGGAAAATAAGATAAGCAATATAGATAAGACAATGAATAAACAAATACGCTCATATAACTGACACAACCTTTCTGGTCAGCAATTTGGCAACATATAACCAAACACTGGAAAAATGCAATATGCTTTGACTCAGCAATAGCAGTTCAAGGAACCTGTCCTAAGAAAATCAGAGATGTAATAAAAGATTAACACGCAGGATGTTTATTACAGCAGTACTTACGACAAAAAATTCAAATGTACATCAATAGACTATTAGATAAGTTTTACACATGGATAGAAAAATGACTATCATCTACATAATGAGATGTTATGTTGCTACTGTGATGAAATTACATTTTAAAATTTTGTTTTCTTCTATTTGTATATTCTTATTTTCTATACTAAACGTATTAGTTTTATAAAACATAAAAAAACTCTTAGTAAGGAAAAAATGATACCTTAGTATTTTAATTTGCATTGCTTCAACTACTTAAATTAGTATTACTAAATTAATTACATTTCTTCAATTATTAAATTAGTAATATTTAATTTTTCAGGCCAGGCATGGTGGCTCATGCCTACAATCTCAGCACTTTGGGAGGCCAAGGCAGGTGGATCACCTGAAGCCAGGAAATCGAGACAAGCCTGGCCAATACGGTAAAACCCTGTCTCTACTAAAAGTACAAAAAATTAGCTGGGTGTGGTGGCAGCTACCTGTAATCCCAGCTACTCAGGAGGCTGAAGTTGCAGTGAGCCAAGATTGTGCCACTGCATTCCAGCCTGGATAACAGAGTGAGGTTTTGTCTGCCCCCCAAAAAAATAATTTAAAAATTAAAAGAATATATATTTATTTGTGGCTGGGCATGGTGGCACGTGCTTGTAGTTCTGGCCACTTGGGAAGCTGAGGTGGGAGGACTGCTTGATGTCAGGAATTTGAGACCAGCCTGGTCAACACAGCAAGACCCTGTCCCTAGAAAATATTTTTAAAATGCTTATTTGCAGTTGGGTGTGGTAGTGCATGCCTGTGGTCCCAGCTACTTAGGAAGCTGAGGCAGGAAGATCACTTGAGCCCAGGAGTTTGAAGTTGCAGTGAGCCATGATTACACCACCTGTACTTTAGCGACAGAGCAATACCTTGTCTCAAAACACAAAGTATTTATTGCTACCTGTATCATTTTGTGACTTTCCAATTTGTCTTTTGGGCATCTATACATTTTAAGCCCAAGAACCTAAAGGTAAGAAAACCAAGATTCAGTGTAACAAATGAAAAATGAGGAATCCATAAAACACACTTTAATCTTTAAATGTCACATTACATTATAAACTTCTTAAAAACTTTGCCTCACTTTGCCATTAAGCCATCCCCTTCCCAGTTTTGATGTAGAAACTTTTGATTGAGATATACTTTACAAATAATCGACAATAATAAAGAATAATTCAAGATTGTGCCCCCAATGCTGTATACCTTATCCTCATTACTATCATTAAAGAGAAAAACATCAGCTCTGACCCTCATCACTAGGCTGGATTAGAGTGAGCAAGAACAGCTACAAAATTAATACGGCTGGGCTCTAATCAGGACCCTGCAGTTATCCCTTCTGTCCTCAAAGCAAGGAGAAAATCTGGTATCTTTATTTCCTGGTGTCCTGCTTCAAGACATGGCTAAAATACGATAGGAGTTAAGAGACAAGTGGCAAAAATTCTGTTCATACCTTCAGTCCAGAGTGTTAAATTTAGAAATATAGGCAATCAACTTTGGAAGAGAATAGTCAACCAGTGACTGTCCGGCCTCTGCTTGAAAATATTAAAGCCTGAGAAACAGTACCCCTGAAACAGAGCATTCCATCCTCGTCTAGCTCTAAAATTAACTCAAAAGATTAAAGATTTAAATATAAGATCTGAAATCATAAAACTACTAAAAGCAAATGTAGAGAAAAGGTTATATAACATTGGTCTGGACAGTGATTTTTTTGGAGACGACTCCAAAAGCAAAGACAACCAATGCAAAAACCAGGTAAATGAAATGATATCAAACTAAAAAGCTTCTGCACACCAAAGGAAACAACAAAGTGAAGAGACAACTCAAAGAATGAGAGAGAATATTTAGAAATCCTACATCTTATAAAGAGTTAATATTCAAAATATATAAAAAACTCACACAACTCAATAACAAGAAAATAACCCAATTTTAAAAAGGTAAAGAAACTGAACAAACATTTCTCAAAAAAAAAAAAAAAAAAAAAAAAAAGCACATACAAATGACTAATAGGTACAAGAAAAAATGTTCAACATCAGTAATTTTTAGGGAAATGAAAATTAACACCACACTAAGTTATCACTTCACACCTGTTAGAGTGGTTTTTTTTCCCCTTCCTACATATATATATTTAAACAGAGATGGGGGCTCGCTATGTTGCTTAAGCTGGACTTGAACTCCTGGGTTCAAACAATCCTCCTGCATCAGCTTCCTGAGTAGCTCGGATTATAGGCACATGCTACCACCACACCCAGCTTTGAATGGCTTTTTATAAAAAAAAGATAAAAGGTAAGTTTGGAGATGATGCAGAGAAAAGGAACTCTTATGAACTGTTGGTGGGAATGTAAATTAGTACAGCCATTATGAGAAATGGTATGGAAGTTCCTCAAAAACCTAAAAACAGAATCACACACCTCAGCAATTCTACTTCTGGGTATGTATATCCAAAGGAATAGAACTCAGTATGTCATTGGCGGTACCAGTACTTTAATGTTCATTGCAGCATTATTTATAATAGTAAAGATACAGAAACAGATAAAGGAAACAGATACAGAAACAGATAAAGGAAATATTGTATATATATACAATAAAATACTATTTAGCCCTAAAAAAGAGGTAAATCCAGTCACTTGTGACACAGGGATGAATCTAGAGGATACTGTGCTAAGTGAAATGTGCCAAAAATAGAATGAAAAATACCACATGATTTCACTTCCATGTGGAAACCAGTAAGTTGAATGGATACAAACAGCTAATAGAATGATAGTTAACCAGATGCTGGAGGAGTGGGAAGGAAGGGAATGAAGAGTTGCTGATCAAAGGGTACAAAGTTTCAAATAAACAGAGGAATGGGAAACAGGAGATTGATTAATTAATCAAAAGGTGTGAAATTTCAGATAGAACAGATTTTCAGATTTATCACATAAAAGGTGACTGACTATAGTCAATAATAATGTATTATATATTTTAAAATAACTAAGAGTAAATTTCAAATATCTCACCATAAAAATGATCAGTAAGCCAGGCAAAGGATGTGCTAATCAGCTTGATTTAATCATACCATGTTGTATACATGGATCAAAACATTACGTTATACCCTATTATGTTAGAATGTAGCATTTACTCATTATATATACAACGATGGCTTGTCAGAACAAGATAAAACAAAAAAGTAAAAGAAGGGATAGGTATATTCAAAATCTATCATTTTCAAGGTTTCAAAATAGGAGTGATTCCATGGAACAAGGGTGGGCAGTGATGACTTTTGATACTGTAAGTACATGTAAAGCTTAAGAGCCAAGGCTAGAAAGGTCTACTGCCTCCAAAAGATGCTGCAGAATCAGAGACTATGGAACAACCAGAAGGAGGTAGTCCAGAAGAGGCTGGTGGCCAGTGATGAGGAAGATGAGGCAATCTTGGTAAGGTGTTCTGCTTTCTCTGTTGTTCATGAGCATCAAACGAGAGACCTACTTGTTGCTGGATCTTGCTGCTAAGACAGCTAAAACAAACAAAAGCCCTCTAGGGAACTTAACATGTTTTGCAGATCTAAATCATGTTAATTTTGGATCTTAGTTCTTTTAAAGCTATGTTTAGAGGAACATAAAAAAACTCATATTTATCTTTGATTATAAACTTCCTTTAACATTTGAGTTCAGGAGATC